CTTGTATACATCTAACAAATTTTAAATTGTAGCCGTCTGTAACCTACGTATTCCTCCCAAACGAATTTTTTATATCTTTGGTCGTTTTCCCATAAAGCTCCGTCCCGTTGAGCGTGAGCCACCCTGTATAAAGCGTGATGATACTTTTTGCCTAAGGTGTGTATGATACATTTTTTTTATTACAGGTTTTCCTACATCAACTTTAAGATTAAATCATCTGAAAGAACATTTTCTCAAACACTACACATCGTGTAATATTTGTGGCAAGAGTTTTATTAATTACATTGAATTCTTGTTCCATTTATCTTTACATTTTGTAAAAATTAAGAAACCTCCAAATTCCGCTACACCTAAGTTAAAAGATGAGAAAGTAGATGACATTAAAGAATATTCCAATGATTGTAAAATTTGTTCTAAACGCTTTAAATATAAAGATGATTTAATTTATCACATGCGTAGCCACAATGAAAGAATAGTATTAAAATGTGAATTTTGTTACAAATCTTTTGTGTTTCAGTCTGATTTAGGTTACCACATAGCTTCTGATCATGGTGTTGATGCACTCTTGGCATCTAACAATTGCAGTAAAGACATTTCTAATATATTAAAATCGCATTTCGATAGAAAATTGTATAATTGCGATTTGTGTACCGTAAAGTTCAATAATTTGAATAAATTAAAAATACATAAACGGATTATTCACGCAAGAAAATGTGAAATTTAAAAAAATAGTTTATGGCAATTCAGTGGAATGAGAAACTTATTAATTAGACATTTAGCCTGATTCACAATGTGTAATATAAGCTTTAAATATAAATCACAGATGTCATGTCAGAAGTCAAAAGTTAGTCAATTGCCATAGATGTAAAAACATCGTGTTGCACCCTACTGCTTTTATTACTGAACTATTAGCCATTCCAACGACCTGTCAAAATGCTGCCCGTGAGTAATGACAGATTATGATATGGTAACCTTGTGGGCCTTTAGTCTTGATAGGTTCAGTGATACTTATATAGTTATAAAGATTGCTCAAAGCGGGTCGTTTTGCGAGCGGCCATATTGTCTCGCAAGTGCTCATTAATCAATCGGTTTACCTAAAATGTATTTTAAAACCATTTTTTTGCCTTTGATTATAGTAAAAAAATAAATACCTATATTTTTACTTCAAAGCATAAGTGTATATTTTGAAAAACATGGATGTTCAACGTATATAACTATCTATATCATTGATCCTGTCAAATCACCAGGCTCACAAGTTTGCCATATCATAACTTGTCATTACCTACGGGCAACTATTTTGTTTGGAATGCCTAATAATTATATAACGTACATTAGGCTTGTTTTTGTTATTTCACGAACTAGGTTGTTATATTATCGCGACGTATTCATGAAAAATTAATTCGTCAACTGTATCTCTTATATAATGTACAATATGTTAATTTTTTTTATATCAATATCATTTTGCAAATTAACGTCATCAATATTATTAACTCATGAACAATCGCCCTATATGTTCATTACGATGAAAGAAAATTGGACTGCGTTAAGCAGAAAGCTACCAACCCTCAATAGTGACAAACTGAGGTAATCAGCTCTAAAGTTTTTGTTCGTTTAAGAAAGCTATATGATGTGGGCTAGCATTTTATAGTTTTATAGGGTATATAATTAACTGAGGCTTTGCAGGTTCTTACAGAATGCAGAACGTGTATTTTATTACCCAAATCCGCAATCAACCTAATATTTAGTATATTGTGGGTGGGTAGTTTTCTGCATAACGCCGTCCAATTGAAATTTAGTACACAAGAGATAATTTAATCCCCCCGTTAATTTGATAAGGGAATATACATTGTTTTCAATAAAATTTAAATCAGCAATAATTTAAACATCTGAGATTATTTTTATTGATAGGTATATAATTTGTTTTTCTCTTCCAGGTTATCCTACTTCTAACTTAAGATTAAAGCATCTCGAAAGACATTTCTGGAATAAATATATATTTTGCAATATCTGCGGCAAGAGTTTTGTAAAACCTAACGAATTTTTAAATCACTGTGCTGCACATTTTGTAAAAATTAAGAATATTTCGAAAAATAACACGGTGGATCACACTATAGGAGATTCATTTCAATGTAAAATTTGTTCTAAATGTTTTTCAGACAGTTCTAAATTAAAAAAACACGTTAAAAATCACTGCGTCGAAAGACGCTTTAAATGTAAAATTTGTCTTAAGTTGTTTAAAAAAGTTCATCACTTAGAAGTTCATCAACGGGTTCACATCGAAGCTCTATTTAAATGTGACTTGTGTTCCAAATCTTTTAAGTACAAAAACAGTTTAGAGATACATAAACGAATTCATACGGGAAAAAAGCTTTATAAATGTGAAATTTGTTCTAAATTATACAATTGGTCGAACAGTTTGGAGTTGCACAAAAGAATTCACACCAATGAAAAACGCTTCAAATGTGATATTTGTTCCAAATCGTTCAACTGGATCAACTGTTTAGAATTGCATAAAAGAATTCACACTGGCGAGAAACCATTTAAATGTGACATTTGTTGTAAACGATTTATGGATAAATCTAACTTGCACAACCACCAGAAAATTCATTCGAATGTAAAATCTTTTGAATGCGATATTTGTGCTAGAAAATTTACATCTAGAGGAAATTTAATTCTACACGCTACAGTTCACTCTAACGTGAAACCCTTTGAATGTAAAATTTGTTCGAAAACCTTCAAAAGAATAAGAGACATGAAACGACACGTCAAAGATCATGCTCGCGAAAAACCACTACTCAAATGCGAGGTTTGTTTCAAAGAATTTACCAAAATCTCGAACCTAAATCAACATTTGCCTACTCACGATGAAACAAGGATGTCCGAGTGCAATATTTGTTTGAAAAAATTTAATCGTAAGTCATATTTGGATAGACATATGTTGGTTCACTCGAATGAGAGACCATTTAAATGTGAATTATGTCTTTCGAATTTTAAAAGACGAACTGCTTTAAGTAGGCATATAAAAAACCAACATGTGAATGAATTCAAAGAAGAAATTGATATTACATATAATGAAAATGAAATAAAAATGGAAGATTGTAACGAATGAGACAAACTATCGCGGTTTAGTAGGGCTAACTTACAGAGCTAGTATATACAGGGGTCCCGAAATTAGACGGTCATATTTTAACTGCGTAATCTACATCCTAAAATAAAAGTAAACATAGGTCCGAAAACGTTTCGTTTCCGAGATACAGGGTGATAAAAGTGAAGTCCTGATGACACATTTTTGTAAATATTTTCTTAAATTTCTTTAGTCACCGGTTTTGCAAAGCTGAAAAAAAAATGCTGATTCCACAGGCCTACTAACTATTATTTGCACTTTCGAATAAGATAATATAAACTTAGTATGAAATTTTCAAATGCTTTCTTCTTGATAATGGTGCGTCCTAGCAAGATGCCACAAAAGTAGCTTTGTTCTAAGGAAGACATTGGTTTTCCAAATTTTGCAGTCAAAAATGTTAAAAACTGTCAACAAAAAACTTAGGGCAATTTTACCCTAACCCCCCGTCTCCCCTAATTTACCTACCTATGAAGATGATCAAAAATTGGGGTTTAGTCCATTATATAGAGCTTAAAAAGTTTAGTATTTGTACCAAATTTCACTTAGTTATCTTTAAACGTTTAGAAAATATTTACAAAAATGTGTCATCAGGACTCTACTTTTAACCTCCTGTATCTCGAAAACCAAACGTTTTTGACCTACATATGTTTATATGAACTTTTACTCCTATTTTAGGAAGTAGATTACGCTGTTAAAATATGACCGTCTAATTTCGAGACGCCCTGTATATTAGCTTCGTTCGCGGAGCCGATCTCCAACGTATTCTGAACGCTAAGGTAGACCATCCACGCTTGCATACACATTTAAAGGGAGGGGGAGGGAGGGAGAGAAAGAGAGAGAAGTTGTAGCACACTTAAAACTTAAATATTCCCATCATGACTAACAACACTCATCCGAAAACAATGTTGCCAAATTTAAGTTGTATATATTTAGACTTTTTTCTTCTCAAAGCTTCTATATTTATTAAAATAATTTTGTTAATATAACTATTGTAATGTTATTTGAAATTATGTAATTTTAATAAAAATAACCAATTATTGCTTTTTGTTTTTCCAATGAAATTACGCCACTGGAAATTTCTACGTTTATGAACCGAGTCCTTGTCAAAACAAGCAACCTGAAATTCCATATTGTGTTTGCAACATCGCTTAACATAGAATACGTGTAAGTCTGTCTCTGTCTCTTTAATGCTTCCTCTATATATCCTAACCCTGTATTCGCGATTCAAGCTAAGTGATACGCCCTCTGGAGGAAATTTTTATAAGGTCCCTATAAGTAGGATATCGTTCAGTGTTGTCAGAAGTAGCAAAATTTCGCTACGTCGTCGGATTTTAGCTCTTGAAGAAGTGGATAAGACCTTTTATTTAAGAATCAAAATTTGTGCATATTTATTTAAGGATTTTTTTATAAAACCGATTTATTATATTGATTTTTTTTTAAATTTCATGGTCATTTATTAATTTTGTTTTAAAATCAGTTCATCATTTGGCAACATTGGCGTTCGTGTTCATTGTTTACATTTCGAGTTTTTTCTTACTTTTTAGCTTTAAATTTGTTTATTTCTTATATTATGTGATATTATATGAAATCTGCGAAAAAGTCCCCAGCAAATTGCAATCTATATGGCGTTAATGTCAAAATCAAAACTGAAGTATTCATTATTTTCCAAGCGCAAGTCGTAATAGTTATCCACGAATACTTTACGCTATTTTTTTTATTGATATACTTTGAAATCCTAAATATTGGTATTATTTCTACAAAAAAATGGAAATAAGAACTAATAACTGAAAATGGTTGAATTTGTGATGTAACATCAGTATACCTCGTTGTCATGAAAATGAGACAAACAAAAATTTATTTTTAATCTATCACGTAAGATTAATTGTCGCAACAGTTGTTATTGTTTAAAATGAGTTCAAATATTGAGTATTTAAATAATAAAGCAGAATCGCGCTTAATACCACAAAAATCCGAAGCGGTTTATAAAAAAGAATACGATAAATTCAACACGTGGATGGAAGAGCAAATGGTTACACATATAGATGAACGAGTTGTTCTCGCTTATCTCCAGAAAATGTCGGAAAAGTATAAAGTATCGACTATGTGGACTATCCATTCAAAATTACAAAGTATGTTGAGGATAAACAAAGGGGTCGATATAAAATCGTTCGTCAAAGTGCATGCATTCATGAAGGCAATTAGCAAAAATGAGGTAGTCAAGAAGGCATATGTATTCAAAGAAGACGATTTGCCGAAGTTTTTTACAGATGCACCGGACATTACGTATTTATTTTTGAAGGTGGTTGCTATTTGTGGCATCTTTGGCTCTTGTAGAAGATGTGAATTGTGCGATTTACGCTTAGCTGTTATCAAGAAGGAAGCGTATTGCTTATTACTATCCGACCATCTAAGACAGTGAAGTCTCGACGTTTTACTGTTGCCGATAGTGATGCAATTAGATATGTGTGAATAAATTTTTTGAAAAATTTCTCAAATATTTTATTTGACATTACAAGGCACTCCTGTCAGATCAATATTTAAAAAGTTGGCATTTAGACATCACGTTTCTCGGGTTGTTGATGTTGCCATGGTAACTTTAAAACGCGCGTTTTTTAAAGTTCGTTTTAAACACGCTGAGGCGTACTTTAAATAAGTAAATTATGGTACCAATAAAAAAAAATTATGTTTTTTACGATAAATGGATATCTATAAATTCACAATATTGAAATTTTGCAAAACTTTGTTTAGAATCAAAGTGTAATCTGATTTATTACCATTTACATGTATACAAAGTACTACATAATTCACTTCATAATATAAGAATAAGTCTAGTAAGATTTTTAAATAAGTTCATGAATAATAAACATAATAAAACATGTCCTGGGTTTAGTAAATACATATTTCTAGATATTCTTGTAGCAACCAATAGGTGAATATTTCAACAAATTAAGTCATACACATGATAAATATTATATTTATGACGAAAGCACGAGACTTAAACTTAAATTAACACTAAATAAAACTCAAAAACACCATTACAATGAGAATATTATCTAAAAACAGTTTAAAAAATCACAAATACAAAATCCGCCCAAAACAAACACATTATGTAAATAATCAAACATCCTACTTATAGGTAACAAATGACAGAAGCGCGAAAATGAATTTGAATCGCGAATACTTTCATCTTCTCTATTCAGCCAAATTCTGCTTTCTTGGATCTGATTCTGAAACCGCAACATATTCGATAGAGGGTCCGGCAAACCTCTGTCGTAGTTCTATAACTCCTACCACAGTTTATAGCTAAATAATCAGTTCGCTCACTCTGCGTCGGCACTTTTGATCTGAATGTTCCAGTTTATACACTGCGCAACTCGGATTTGTATCCCTGGCGCATACAGAATCAATTAATAACCAATACAATATGGTCGGGTTCTAATTAACAGTACTGTTCCTAAAGTGGCGCTGTGAAACAGTAACAACGCCTACACAGAACACGAAGAAAAAGAAGAAAAAAAAAACAATATATGACAACCGCCTATATTTGTATCCCTGGAGTGGATATTATTTTGGAACATCCAATTGGTCCGAGTGAGCGAACTGATTCTTTTAAGCTATAAACTGTGCTCCTACTGTGAAGTACATAATGTCAGTGGGGGTCAAAACTAAATATTCTGAAATAATTGTCATGTATACAGGGTCCAATAGTTAAATAGGTCATCAGTAGGACATTTGTCAATTACTGGTTTTTTATAAACAACATTTCCAGTTTCGGTAAATCTTGCATGTAATTTTTCAAAACTCTTTTGTTCCAGAATGCGTCTAACGGGATATCATTGATGATAATATTTTTTTTTGCTAATAAATAACTTCTGTCGGATTCTACCAAAATTCGTTTTTTGGAAAATTTATTATTGATAGAAAAATTATCACGATCTGTAAAAATAACCTCTGTAATGTTAATGTCAGAAACTAAATAATCTGACACTTCATTAAGACCCAGTCTACTTCATTGAATCAATTGAATGTCCACTTTTGAAGAAGAAATTATAATGTATACAATTTCTTCTTTAAATTTACATTATAAAATTAGCCATCCGTTGATGTATACATGGTATTTGAAACATTTTAAAAACTTTCCTGGAAATTTTTGGAAAGTGAAATTCATTTTTGACCACTCTGTACAAAATAAAAAATTAAAACTTGGTCTAAAAAATCTTTGGTCTATTGGCTTTATACATTTATAGTTTTTTAAATTTCAACGTTAAATCTGAATATAAAAATGTAATATTTTTCGGCAATTTTTTTTTCTGAAAGGGGTGGGGTATTAAAAACAATATTTTGAAGGTATTTACTATTGACTATAGAGTACCTAAAAATGTGAAAAAAGGTGGATTATTCCATTAAAGTGATTTGTCCAATTTACTATTGGACCACCCTGTATACATGACAATAATTTCCGAATATTTGATTTTGACCTCTTTTGAAATATATCCTTTAAATAGATTGGTTTCGCATAAGAGTATAGAACTATGACAAAGGTTTGCCGGACCCCGCATATACAGGGTGTTTCAGAATAAAGTACTGTAAAGTGTAAACAGTTTAAAAGGTTTATCCTTTACAAGCAAAAAAAAATATTTTTAAACTTTACTACTCAAATTTATTAATAGGAAACAACATTTTCCAAGAGTTCTTTTAATGTATCACAACATAGTTTTTGACACTCAGAAAAAATATTTCCAAGAAAAAGAAAAAATGTAGTGTTATACCGTTAAATGTTTCAGTAGCTATTAATGGGTAGATATTGCAAATTTTTTAATGCAGCACAAACTTATGAGATGGTATACTATCAAGAATTGGATATTTTATTCTTATTAATGCATGTTGGACATACATTTTGTGTTTTGAAATTATTATGCTAGTACACAAAACTATTTGGTAAATGAAGCCGTTAATTAAAATAGAGTGATTTTAAAATTTACACCTTCAGGGAACGAAACTGAAATGGGAAAACTTATCTCCCAAAATTAAATGACCTGGTATCCTACCTCAAAAATTTTAATGATAAACAAATATACATTTCTATAGGGACCGTGCGTCAAGACTTTAACGCTAACTGGTGAAAAAAATTTGAACTTTATGGGGGGTATTTATTAATATTTTATATGGCATTTATTGTTTAATAATTATTAATTAAATAAAGTCAAATTATTATCGTAATATCATTATCGAAAAAACTTGTTGCATCCGTGGATGTACGAACACATTACTTTGGAAACCTGGATTTCATTCAATAGTAAAGAAATTTTATAAATTTTCACAGAGCAGAATTAAGTGTCTCACGCCCAATGATATACATAATTACATTACATAGATTGCTTATCCATATGTAAATCAGATGACGAAAAGCGTATTTCACTGGACAAAGTTTTTTTTTTATCTAGCTTTGTATCAATTTTGAGCACTTGAGCATTTACAGAACCGGTTTAGAAATTAGAGTCTTTAGTGTTTTATTGTCATTAAGATTTTTACATATTTAAATGAACATTTTATATAAATATAATTTTACAGATAATTAATGGTTTATTCTGTTGATTAAAACTAATGTAGAATGTTACTATGAAATAAGTATGTCCAATTTGACAAAAATATCATAGCCCTCTTTACAATTTATTAACTATTTCTCATTTATTACTAAAATAAACAAATCATAAATAATACGTACATTGCAAGTACTATCAAAAGAGACTGCAACAGACTTTAAAATATTAAAAATCCAGTGATTTTTGTAAATTTTTTTAGTGACATTACCATTAAACATTATTCAGAATAATAGATGTGTCCAATTACAACTCTTACCAAAGTTGTTTATATCTCATATCAAAGTTGTTTACATTTCCTTTTCAAAGTTGTATTACATATTGCAATTATGTATTTTATGTAGTGTATAATTTCTGAAATGAAAGTAGTCTAAAATTATTTAAATCCATCTGTTTTAAAAATTGTTTAGATCTCTTAATATTAATTAACTACATGGAAACTCAACTTTCCAAATACATAATAACGTGTCTTGAAGTAAAACTTTTATTATTTTCTTTTTCTAAAGATTAAAATACTGAAATTTTATATTAAAACACATTTGGGCTAGAACGGCTCAATTTTAGTGAGCACTAGGAAAGGCACATTGCAACCCGCTTTTCGTATTTTTTTTATAGATGGGTGAGCAATCTATAATATGTATATCATTGGGCGTCTCATAAACGTCAGTGGATGAATGACATTTCGACTAACATAAATCTAAAAAGAATTATTATTATTCCCAATCTTTTTTATTAATTTACATTTTTTAAATGTTATTGTAATACTTTTAAATTCAGTGTTACTAAATACCGATATTTTGACATTGGATACACTTGTTTAAGGTACAACTTTACAATTTATTGTCAATTAGCCATATAAATCTTTTTGCTTAAAATGTATATACATGTCCAGATTTTAATAATGTTTTACATTTTATATCATTTTGACCACGTACCCGATTGTTTGGTACGGGCCGGTATCTATATTTAACTATATTTAATATTTTAAAAAATATTCTTTATTATTTACTTGCAATGTTTACCCCATTTAATTCTAAAATTAAACACTAGAGAGGGCTAACTTCGGCAGTAGTGCTGCCTCTATATTTCACGCACGGTCCCTATAGGAGCAATAAATTATTAATAGTGGATTCGACTCAAATGCTCTTGCTCGTTGAAAAAGCGCTTTTAGTTCAGAATTGATTTTGGGCAACATTTTTATAATTCAAATTTATATCTAGCAGTGCACACAACAAGCACGAGCTAGAATTCGACATTGGTGTAGCGCATCTTTATTGTTATTCGACTGGCACAGTTAGCACTTGACATTTCAGGCTTCTAACAAATTTTTAACGATATTTATTTATAATTGCCAAACCAAAAATTAAATCTCTATTAATTTCAAAGATTTTCCATTCTCACTAATAATAAAAACAAAGATGGTAACATATTTAAAATTATTAAATAATTCCTAACCTCCAAAATGACACTGGCACTGAAAAAAAGTACAGTTCCAAAAAATTCGAACTTTGAGCAAGAGCGCCTACCAGTCGAACAAAAATTTCACTATGCCTCGGTACCGAGCAATTTGAGTCGAATTCAATAATTGACTTTTAATTAATTAGGTTCTGCCAGTCGAACAGACACCACTTAAAAAAGTCGAACTAAATGCGCATTAATGCAGCCAGTCGAATCCGCTATAAGATAAATTCTGTAACGTAAACAAAGCGTAAACCTAATCACATTTAAAATTTTGACAATTATGACAGTATTGACGACACAACTGTCAATTTAGAAAAATGGCAACTATCATGGTTCATTAATATTTGGTGGCCCACCT